GCAACACCCAACATAATCACTTGCATTTTATGCATCTTATGCACTTTATTCCTATTCCATATATGGTATTCATTTAGTAGTTGTTGATTACTCTTGTCTATCTTTTGTTAATAAAATCTATTTTATTACACTTGTGTCTTCCTTGTGTTGATGATACAGAAAGAGGTTCTACAAGTTAGAGATCCCACCAATCTTTCTTATGTGATGTACTCATAACCGCACCTTAAGTGACACGTGATCCAAATATCATAACGTCATTGGTGACGCGAGTATCCATCACTAGACTATTTCGCCTCCCTAGGTTGGCAAAAGCAAAAGTCACTACACCACAAAATATTAGGCAGTGAAAACTGTCTTCAACATTTATTATAATAAGAATAGTTTCTTGAGCACCAAATCAGCATATTGAAATTATTTAGACTGAGTAATGGCTGCTGAAAATTCAGCTTTGCCATCACAGGAATAAATTGCATTTTACAATATATTACAATAGAAAACATGTTTTTAAATTGTAATAATATTTTGAAATATTAATGTTTTTACTGTATTTTGATCCAATAAATGCAGCTTTCTGTCACACAGGGATCTTCAGGACACATGCTCAGATTCAGATTCTCTCAGTTCCTCTTTGGGCAGGAAACAGTTCTCCGGTCCCTCTGTTCAAAGTACATGTGCTACAGGAATGGAGACCCCACCACTTAAAATCTCTCGTGAGGAACTTTTTCTTCTGGCGCAGGAGGCCCAGGCTATCGCCATGGAGACCTTACCTTCTTCCACATCCTCCCCTTCATCTCCTCTTGACTCCTCCTCCATTCACAAGGGCTCTCCTGACCTTACCCGCTCTTCTGTCCTCCCAGAATCTCAAAGCTTAACCTTTCATCCTGGCACCAAAGCTGTGGCCTATAATGGAATTCTGGAAAAGTCATACAGCATGGGGAAGCTGCCCGCTAGTGGGACGCCTCCAGAGGGACATTACCCCTCCATTAGCTCCATCGACATAGAAAGCAAATCTATCAAGGAGCCCAAGCAACTCCAACCCACCTCCTCCCAGGACTTTTGCGACAACGGAGAGAAAAAACGCTCCAAGATCAAGAGCTTGTTCAAGAAAAGCAAAAAGCTGTGAGGAACAGTAGAGAAGAGGAAGAAATGGAGAGAAAAAGAAGCCTTAAAATAAAATAAATGAGGGTCAACCAGAAGCCAAAACATTTTTCAGTTTCTTTGTCATTTTTTATTTTAATTTTAATTTTAAATGGAATGTAGCTTCATCTGGGTACAGTCGTAGGTTGGAAGCCTTTTTATGGTGATTTTTTAGCCTCACACGTATGCCTTTGAAGGCCAAAAAATGTCATGTTAGCATTTTGCAGAACATGACCTCTTCACTGTCTTCTGTTAAGTCTCCATTTTCTATAATGTGCACCCTAATGATGTCACCAGGAATGGTTCAGGAAAACAGAATAAAACAGAAACAGAATAAAAAGAACAGTCCAATATTAGCCAAATCTCCAAATTGTAAAAAAAATAGACTTTACTGCAAATATGTCTTAAAGGGAGGGTTCAACCACCAGTGAAAATTCTGTCATTTACTTTCCCTCATGCCACTCCTATTCTGTATGCAGTAGTTTTTTATTTATTCATTTTTTTTAATGGGGCACAAAATAATTTTTTGAGGAACTGTTACACAGTTCTTGCAATACAACCAAGGTTCATAGTGACCAAGGGCTGTTAATCTAAAAAAAACACCAAAAAGCAACGTAATAGTAGTTATACAACTCATGTGCTATATTTCAAGTATTCTGTACATCTGCATTTTGTTTTTTCTGTTGGCCTAAGTACAAATGCATCAAATGGATGTGTTTGACTGTTGCACCGTGTCTCACTGTTTAATTTACAGGAGTGACAACTGCATTTTAAAACTGAAATGACCCCCGAAAAGTGACAACCACATTTACAAAAACTCCAAACACATTATCTTGAAAATAAGCCACATATCAAAATATAGCGACTTGCACCTGCCTCTTTTATTAACTCTGGATTGCTTGAACTGGATCGCTTTTTGAGCCGATACCAAAAATGCTTGATACCAAACACACAAGACGGCAAAACTTTGCTATGGTTACCATGGCGTCATGGTTTTGAGAGTGAGTTCTGTTCCATACACACACAACACTGTAATTGAGGGGATGCGCTCCCTATTTAAATGCAGTTGTCACTCCTGAAACTTTACAGTGTGTATGTGGCCATTGGCATAATCAAACCATAAGGCATCATATTTTGTCATTATATAAAGACTCGCTGACCAAATTAATAATAAAAAAAAAGATTACTGTAATTATACTGTAACTAAGTTGTTTTCATCATGGCAGGCTTGACCGAAGTTGCATTTTAATTTAGCATGCAAATTTAAAAAGTTCAGTTCTTTAAAGGGGTAATATGATGCTTTTTAAAAGATCATTATTTTGTGTATTTGGTGTAACATCAACCGATGGATAGAATAATTTCTTTACACTCAGATGTACTCAGAGCACAGTTTTGAAGAAAAAAAACCCTATCTTTCAATTTAATTTCAGCTGTAAAAATGGCACACTGTGTTTGGTTATTACACAGTCGAGATCCAATGCCGTTTTGACAACAATGACGAATCTGCATCTGGACTCAGGCTTGACCATAGCTTGGTTGGAAGTAAAGATTATTTTAAAAAATTTAAATTTCAGTCTGATTGCCACAAAAAAACTGTCATATGGCTTCAGAAGACTTGGACTCTAATGCACAAGTCATTTGGATGGCTTTTATGGTCCCTTTTATGTTTTTGTTTTTTTTGGTGCTTAACAGCCCATGGTCACCATGAACTGTGGATGTATGGCAAAACCTATATAATGATTCTTAAAAAAAAAAGGCTACTTTGGTGATCCACAGAAAAACTATTAACATTTAGGTTTGGAATGACCTGAGGGTGAGTAAACAATGACATTTTTTTTTTTTTCCACATTTGAAATCATAAGAGTTTGAATGGCCGCTGGTTGTTGTTTGATATATCTCAGCCTTTGACATCATCACAAGCTTATTTTTTAATATTTAGTTTCCCTGTAGTATGAAAATCATAAGAAATCCTTTCCCTTCCTCTTAAGGGCCCAGGGTGAAAACTGGGCTTTCAGTTTTGTCACTTCTGTTTACTGCCACAGAGCTCCTGTACTTGACAATATTTTTTTAAGAAAAAAAGGGAAAGAAAAAACAAAAAGAGTAACACTTGACATAAAGCAGCATGTCAGAATGCCTACATAAGTGAAATAATGAACACAATGTAATGGTTCAGTAAATTAATAAAGATTACTCTTTTCAGTCTTAAAATGTGCAAAATACTACCTTACGCACTATATTTAAATTATCATTACACTTTTTATTTTTGATTTAAAACACCATTTTACAGTACTAGAATTATGCCAGCATATTGTTTTGGCACATTTGTTAAAAAAAGGTAAATAAAAAAATTAAAAAAGGAAAAAAAAAAAAGGAAGAAAGAAATTAAACCCAAGCTGTGTAAAATTCACAGCGGACCTTTTGAAGTGTTTTGAAGACATGTTCAGACATAACAAACTGCTGTGTGGAAAGCGCTACTGAATTATCCTGCCTAAAGGCTGTTGCACTACTGCTTTCCTTACCTGGAAAGTGTCGCTTTTGGCGGCATAAGAATAAGTTATGTTAGTTAGATCAAGGAGAATATGTGCAAAGATGTTTAAAAAGCAGAAAATTTACATCAAAGCCAGAAAAAAAAAAATGATGGATTTAGATTAGAACGCCTCTTGCCACATTTATTCTCTGAAATCATTTTATTTTATTTTATTTTTTTCATCATGAATATGTTTATTAGAAGTTATTAAATTGTAGTAATGTGATTTCTTTTGGGTAGCTGAGGAAAGTTTTTTTTCTTTCTTTTTTTTTTTTTTTTTCTAAGGAGAAATGTATATGATAAGCAGATTTTGACCCAAAATTCCTCTTTCATGAACTGAGTGCCCTGTTTCAAGGGCGTTACCATCACTGTGATCATTATACCTCTCTCCAATCATACAAATCATCCACTATGGAGCACTAAACTGATTCTGTTTTGGCCAAAATTATTGCAACTTTTTTGAATTGCAAGACCTTTGTCCAGTGCCAGAGAGGACAGCACAACAGTGGTGCCGAAATTTGTCTCAGAACTCACTCACTCAGCATTGTATATGCTGATACATATGAAGGATAAAACATGTTTCATGTATATACACATGAGTGTTTATGTGTGTATATATATTTATACAGTGACTGACATGGACACATGAATGTTGAGATGATTGAGCTGAGCTGTTTTTTTTGTGTGTGTGGGAATATTTGTATACAGTAAGGACAAATTAATAAAAAATTGAGGCAGAAGTCTCATCTGTGCAATCACTTCAAAACTGTTTGTGACTCATTAGGGATGCATTTATCTGCATTAGGTGTGCCTCACATGTGCTGTAAAAAAGTGAAGCCAAAACATTTTGAGCGCCATCTGGTGGCTGGCTGCAGTATAGGTCATAAACCCTGCCCTCTCCATGTAAATGAATGGGCGTGCCGAAAGGAGGTGTTCCGAAAGGTGAATCAGTACAACAGAAACTACCCCTAACCCTACCCCCACACCCAGACAAACAGCTTTGTCTACCAATCATGAAGACCTTTCTCCATGCCCCTACCTTTCGGCATGCCCTAAACTTTTGTCACGCTCTTTGCTCCAGCCTGCAGTTATCCCTACTTGGAATGAATGGCACCTGAACCAAACTAAATTATCAAATAAATAAACTAGAAACCACATTTTTTAAGACAAGTAAAAGCTTTAAAAAATCACAAGGGGTATCAGTGATGTATTTTATGTTGTAGAATAACCACAGACCATATTTCAGGCATTTAACCAAAATCCCTTTTAAAAGCCCATTGACTTATGGACGATGGAATCAGAAGTGCTAAAATTCTAACCGATTTAGCCCATAAACATGTCATCGCTGCAGTGCTCTATAGGGAGCACTGGACTTTTCCTGGTGGGCCAGTCAACTTATGGGCTATCGAAACCAAATTTATACCTTACGTAAACAGATTTACATTCCTGCCACCATCAGCCCGGGCCATTTAAATTGTGGTTTGTGGCGTATGCACAAGAATTAGTCTCTGTTCTGTACAGCATGTCTGGTTTCAGTCAATGTAGCTGTCAGGTGCACATTCAGCTTAAGTTATAACAAATTCATGACAGTTTTATGGGAAGTTTAGCCGACCCATGTAATTGAAAGTTGTCTAAAGATTGTTGTCTTACCAGGCTACTATTTACACACTTTCTATGCTATATTTCCCTCTCTGCCACTGGCTGCCCTCACCACTTCTGCTGTTTTCAAACTGCTTATAAGTCTCCTCACTTGCTGGAAGCCAAACACTTGGGGATGGAAGTTATATATATATATATAAAAAAGCACAGGTCAATTTAATCAAGTCAGTAAATTCATAAAATAAACAATCAAATGAGCCCCACACTTGAGTTTATTGAAAACTGAAGAGTAATCATCTGGGATTTAAATCTAGGTCTCTGTAACTTTATTTTGAGGATCTTACCTTTCAAGCACCTGATTAGGTTAGACCAGGGGTGCCCAAACTCGGTCCTGGAGGGCCGTTGTCCTGCAGAGTTTCGATCCAACCCCAATTAGACACACCTGAACCAGCTAATCAAGCTCTTACTAGGCATACTAGAAACCTCCAGGCAGGTGTGTTGAGGCAGGTTGGAGCTAAACTCTGCAGGACATCGGCCCCTTCAGGACCGAGTTTGGGCACCTCTGGGTTAGACTTTTTTATTGTATAATTTAATTGTGCTGTATTTCCAATGTTCAGATATTTTATATATATGAAAGTACAGTGAAAATCATTGTATTAACTAGACTGTACAGCAGGAAGTAGTTTGCATTATATAGAACATGGTTGACATTTATATGCTTCGAAACATATAGTGGGAGATCATGAGCTGTTGGTTTGTGATGGACATAAACTCTCAGTCCATCTCTGTTTGCAAGAGTTGCAACTCAATGTTATCATCACCCTGATTCCCTTGACAAAAAGCCAATAGAATTTTTCTATTGGAAATTCTATTGGATTATTGCAGAAATTAAGCTCTGTGACCAACAAAACATGATTCGTTCATCTTTGAACATAGTTTTTTATTAATTTTGGTGCATAAATACAATTGCCAGACATGAAAAGCTATCATTAAGCTATAAATGAACTACACCACAGTCGCATACATGTACATTTAGTCATTTTGCCGATTTTGCATATGTTCAACATCACCACCACTAAGCTTCTGACCACTCTTTCAGTATTTGAACTGTACAAGACGGACAGTTTGAGTTAGTGTAGTTTACAAGATTGCAAGTATAAACACAACAAGGGTATAAAATCCAATGTTGGAAGACAAAATAACCTTATATAATTCATACACGGTTCAGTACATAGTGCATAACTGCATAGTGTATATAATGTGTCATTTGGGACACAACTCTTATTTCAGCTGTTTAACCAAAAACCCATTCTAAAACTCCACTGACTTCAGGACAATGGAACCTAGTTCAAACATGCTAATTTATTTCCATGTTTAGGACTTCACTTTTTTTTTTTGAAAAACAGTGACAATGTATAAGATGATAGAATCTGTATTGAAAAAAAAAATGGAGAATACTATTTTTGTCCTCTTTTTCTCAGTCTTTCTCTCTCTCTCTGTCTCTTAGGCAGCTTGAAGTATACATTAGAGCAATAGAAGAAAACGCAAAAATGTGTTTGTGTGACACCCCATTTATCTTATAAGTGGGCACTGGTGACTGGAGGAGAAACATGCATGATTGTTTTATCAATATAAAGAGAAAGTGAGGAGAATTGTGTTGATGGTTCATCAATTCTACACAGATATACACTGAGAAGATTCTTATGATGAATGTGCTGCTCAGAGAGAGAGAGAGAAGGAGAAATGTTAAAACAACTCAATCTCGCTCGCTCTCACATATTCCCCAACATGCTGTCTTTCTCTCTCTTGTTCTTGCTCAAATAAATTCAGTGCCGTTCTCTTTCTTACACACACACACACACACACACACAGAAAACCTGCAAAGTCTTTTTTAATGATCCCGCTCGCAGCAAAAACAGAAGTTGCACTAGATGGCAGTCATGTACCATTGAAGTGTGTGGAACAGAGTAAAGCCCCTTCAGTACCACTTCCAGCTCACGAGTTAAACACGTCTCTAGCGAGTATGAGTCCCAGTGTATGTTGTTTCACCATTACTTCTGACCACCATAACTTGTGTGACCACAATGACCCTGAGTGCTATCTCACAAAACATTATATACAATCTAAAACGAACTATAATAAGAACTGCTTCCGTTTTCATTGTTTCTTTGTCTTTGTTTCATAACTAAATACATTTTGCAAAATAATGGAGTTTGTTGCATATGAAATCACCATGAGAACATCATCATTGTAGCTGTGCACACCTGAAATCACCGCAGGAAATTGCATGCTGTCAGAGTATGTACTGTATTTTATTGAAAAATGTGCTTCTTGACAGTTCATAAAGTACATACTATTTATGTGTGTAATATGAATATAATCCAAACATACATACATCATGCTGGCATTGCCTTGTGACTTACAATGTCAACCGCAGGTCTGTACCTTGACATTTACAAATATGACGACTCCTCTCCTGTGGCCTCATTGGGTATGTGGAAGTAGTAGGTCATACTGATATTTTTTGCTTGGTGTGTATTTGGACATGCTACTTCTTTGATGTACAGCTTTTCACGTGCTGTAGATTAGGAAGGTAGTTATCTTTGGACGCGGCATGTGTGTATGTGTCAGGTACAGCTAAATCACAGAGACAGAGTCATGGTGACTAGCTCCTGAATGGTTTCGTGTCTGCGAAAATGTAATAAGTGGTTTGCCGACAGCAGATTTTTACCCACACCTTTTGATGCTCCTTCTTGGTGAATGGAGAGGACCGCTGAAAGATGAGGGCTGTAGTTCTGCAATATTAACTGGTGGTTTACTGTTTTATAAAAATGTTGCAATGATGCTGTTGGTTATTAAGAGCAGTAGTATAATTGAAAATAATACAGTAATGTAAAAGTAATTGTAAATAGTACAGATTACCACAAGACCTAAAAGAAAACAGCTTTTTCCCCTCAAATCTTTTCAATCAAAGACATCCCTGGATGTTGCAAAAACAGTATTACTAAAGCATAATATTCTACTTTTTACTCCACTACTGTCACAAATTGTCAGTCATGTTTCATTTAGTTTCATTTTCATAGACTTCAGTTTCCTTTTTCCTTTGTTCTAGTTCCTGCAAATCTGTAGTTGTCATTGTTACTGAGTTGATTGTGTCAGTTTATAGGTGTTCATCTTTAATTAACCTTATTTGCTGTTTGCTTCTACCTTTGTCTTCGTGTGATTATCACAACCAGTTGTGACAGCTACATTTAAAAAATAATTTGTGAACTAAAACTTCTTTAAAGTGTGTGCTGTTTGTATGACATGCTTGAATGTGAATGTGCACATTTGCAGGTCACCGTCTGTGTGTCTTGCTTATTTGTAAATCAGTATACATTCAATGTCATCATCATATCTCGTACTGTAAGATGATGTATACACAATGGCAAAATAAATGCTAACACTTTATTTTGACTGTCCACTTTAGACATTCTACTCAGTAACTTTGCAACTGCATGTTAACTACCAGTCATTAGAGTAACAGACTGTCTGCTTAATACCTGTTAACATGTTGTTTTGGTCCCCCAGTAGACTATAAGTCACTTTGCATGTCAACTTATTCTACTAACCTTAACCTAACAGTCTACTAATACTCTAATGAAAGTTAGTTAACAAGTAGTTGCAAATTAATGAGAGTTATTTGACATAAGTTGCAAAGTTACTTATAGTTAGTACAATGTCTAAAGTAGACTATCAAAATAAAGTGTCCCCAAATAAATAAACAAGGTTTGTCAAATGAAGTAACAGTGAAAGGAGTGCTTTTTACTTAAGCACTATTTTATTAAGGTATCTGCACTTTTACTCAAGATTTGTGTACTTCATCCACCACCGAATTAAAACAACAAGCATATAGTGCTTCTGCAGCTTTCAGAAACTTCTAGGCTACTCTGTAAATACTGTAGGTTTCTCACACATTCACCGGCTCGTTCCTCTGCATGTTACGCACACTTTCTTTCTGCTTCTTTCACGCCGTTACACTTTCCTGATGTGCATGAGAATTTTTATGTAAGTGATATGTCACCACGTGGCTGTGCATATTTGGATGTTGAACATTTGGTATTGCAATCGGAGGGTGTTTTTCTTACATTCTTAGCACACGCACACTCTGTCTGCCTGCTGCGAAAACCTACAGGAAATTGCTTCCCTCCAGAGAGTCAGAGAGTGGGGCAGAGTTACGGCAACACGCTAAGATCATTTTCATCCTTCCTGTCTACATTTATTCTTCCATTGCAATTCACTCCTGTTTAAGGGTCAAAATTTCCCTCTCCACACATCCCGTACATTGACTGGAGCACATCTGTCCTCCTCATACTCCTTTGACTTCGATCAAATGAATTTAATAAAATCTATACAAGTCAAACAGCCAGGCTTGATCTCTCAAACAAAGAGAGCTTTTATTTGATTTACGCAAACTCAGCGGATGAGAGTGGGGATGAATAATACCTCTCTCTCCTTCATCGCATTCTTCCTTATTAAATATCTCCCATGCATCCCTTCATTCCCCCAGCAGTCCCTGCTTCCACTGTCGCCCTGCTGCCAGAGCCCTGGGAGGAGAAGCCTTATCTCCTTCCTCTCTCTTGCTCCCTTTGCCTTGCGCTATATACTCCCTCAGTTTCCTTTCAAATCTCTCATTCTTTCAGTAGAAAAAAGACAGAGAGAAGAAGAGAGAGACACATTAATTTGATAAAGCGAGTATCATTATTGGCAGTAGGGAGGCTCTTTTTGTGACAGTATAGATGACAGCACTGTGAGCGTCTGTGTGTGTGTGTAAGCCCAGCCGAGGGCTCCTTTCAGTGACCTATAAGCCTTGGTTTGTCAGTCAGTCAGCTGTCCAAGGACACTCAGTGCTGTGGGGTTCTACTAAGTGCCGCTGTACATATGTGTGTGTGTTTGGGAGTATCAGTGGGTGTGTTGACTGTGCTTTGTCTCTGCTTTGAAATGCAGAGGGAAATAGACCTTCCAAGATCAAAGGCTGCTGCTTCTTTTGCTCAAAGTGTGCCAGCATCTCTGTCCATACACACCACTGTTCCTACATTGTGTGTGTGCTTGGGAGTATTATAACATCATGTTCCTCAGACCAAAGGCAAGCACCTCTCCCAGTCCTTCTAATCTTTCTCCTTTCTGCTTTTTCTTCTTCCTGAGCAACAGAGAAGAGCTGAATAGAATAGAACGGGATAGAATGGAATCATGATGAGCAAATAAATGATTCCTCTTAAAGGCAATCAGTTACAGTTGAAATGCGTGCTTAGAAAAAACACGGACATGAACTGAGCTGTATTAAAGCATACATTAAGAAGTAAATTGTGTATGTATAGAGGCGTCTGGTGTACACTCGCATGCGATAAAGACTGTACTCATAATAGTTTTATATAAAAAGTGTTTTAATTATGTATGGTGAGGGTCACACCTTCAATGTATTTCACCACATTGTCCCGCAGTGTTTCTTCTTTTTTGTTGGACAGGTAATTAATTATTGTGTAGACTGCTCTCTAAAAGTAGTATCAGTGTAATTTACATAAAATTCAGAGACAATCATGCTGAACCACGTCAATAGATGGCAGTGCAGTGTCTACCGGGGCAAACTTTTTGTATTCTGATTCAATACAAGTTAAGCTTAATCAGCACTTGACAGCATAATGTGTTGATTACCATGAAAATAGACTTGTTTTCTTAAAAAAAAAATCAAGGTTACAGTGAGACCACTTAATGCACACTTTTATTAATTCTTCTGTTAAAACTTGTGTATTATTTAAAGTTCACCAAAAATGAAAATTTGCTGTTAATTTACTCCCAAGATGTACTTACAATCCAAGATGTAGGTGACTTTTTTTCTTCAGTAGAACAGTAAAGAAGATTTTTAGCTGAAACCGTGGTCCTTGGTGATTTATAAAATGCAATTCAGTCTGTGCAAGAAACTGAATTTTTTTTACAACATTATTACATGGGAAGTAGGATTCTTTTCTGCAAACTGGTTCTTTCAGACAGTTTGTTTCAACATTATTTCTGTAAACTATGCGTAAGTTAAGGAAACATTCCATTTTATAATTCAAAGTTAAAAAATACAGAATATAACTGCACTCTCACTTAAGCTTTTTTATGTTTCCAGTGTTTTTTATGTTACCAATATGCACTGGATGAGGATTTTTATATCTTTGATATGATTATATATGTTCTGCTGTTGATGTTTATTCTCTGGATATGTATTAAAGAGAGAGTTTTTTAAAAAATGTTTTATTGTTCACGGTATGCTTTTTAACTAATTATTGTTAGCCAAAGTTCTGAGAACAACATTCCTTGTTAGCTGTATGCGGGTTGCTAGAGTGTTCTGTGGTTTGTAAGACACTGGTATGTGGGATTTTACCATCTACCAGCAAAAGTCTAAAGGCTTGGAGAAGTAGCAGCACAAGAAAACCAGCTTCCTCTCAATGTCCATTTCATTTCAGCAAATCAGTTTAATTCTGTCTTGTCTTTTGTTTGTGCAGTCTTTCTTTCCATAACTGCAACTCTAAGATAGGATTTTAGCTGCGCTGCTGCATTTAATACAATCACATAATCAAAGAACAGAGACAAAAAGTCTTTTCTACTGTAAGTCATGGCACTCTCTTGAATAAAAGGATTCAGCATGAGCTTCAAAAGGACAGCTTTTTGCTGAGTACATTTCAAAGTGTGGGTGTCATAAAATGCTTTTCTGTTTTTCGGGTAATAATTGTGAGCAGGATTATTGGATCTGACAAAATATGGAGTAATTCCTTCAAATATATCAAAGTTAGTAACAGCACATGGGGAACAGGGACTTTATGAGGCATGATCAAAAGAAAGTGGTTGCACACACACATACACATACACACAAACAACAGATGGCTTGGCACATCTCAGGATACACACTCAGTAGAGGAGACAAGGAGGTGTGGGAGAGCACATCATTTCCAACATCATCGTCGTACTCCAAAAAGAGTGTGTGCAGGTTCACACAAACAAACACAGTATGTTTCTAGACTGGTATTTGCTGTGTGCTTGTTAATATTCTTCAACCCCCCCCCCAAAAAAAGTTCAATGCATTCATTCAATGTTCACTTTGACCCTGACGTCTTTTCATTGATTTAGGGCCAACACAATGACCTCAAAGGAAGACAGAGATCTCTGTGTGTGTGTATGTGTGTGATCATGAGGACCTTAATGAAAATGTCACAGTGGCAAGAGAGAGAGAGAAAACAATGAATCTGGATAATGGAAACCACCATAACCTCACTCAGTGTCATTGTGTACATTATAATTTTTTTTTAACAAAATCAGCATGAATCTGCATTTTGTGATGATTTTGCATTGATAAAGGACAACAAAAATTATGAAAAGACATCTTATTAAAAAATAAAAACATCTTAACTCAGCTTTAAACCTGGTGAAGCTGGTGTATTGTGTGGTTTTAATGTGATTTTGGAGCACTTTTAAGCTAAGACAAACTTAAGCTGGTTTAAAGCTATTCCTCAACCATCTCTAAATTGCATTCTGATTCCCCTTCAGAAACTCAAGCTGCGTCGAACGCTATGGGAACGCCTTCAGCGTGACCACGCTCTGAATTACATGTGTAATCAGTCCAATGGATGGGTGAGACGTCACGGGCGCGGTGACGTAAAGTCCAGGAAGCTTAAAAGCACTTGCGGTGGAACCGGCGTCAGCTTTCTGTCATTCAGCAAGCGCTCTGTGTGTGTGTGTCAGTCGCTATCTGTTTGTGAGTCTTATTTATGGCGCTTTTCCACTGCGTGGTACGACTCGGCTCGGTACGACTCAGTACGGCACGGCACGGTTCACCTCGGCACGGTTTGCATTTCCACTGCAGTTCAGTATCGCTTTAGAGTGGGCGGGATTATTCACATGTCGTTATAGTTGCGCCGCCTCTACTACCACGACTCCTAAAAAAAACTTTTTCATTCCGCGTCGCCCCATTAAGCTCTCGCTGGATCCGCTTCTCTGCTATCAATGAGAGGAACGTCTACTTCCTCAACAGACCACGAAATAGCCATTTTTTGGTTGTTAAAAAAAAGGTGCGCTCGTTCAAACAGTTGCGTTCGATCCTTCGCTGGCTGTGCTGATTTAAATCTAGCGGTTCTGTTGTGTTTGTGTCGCAAGTTCAGTGACGCAGGTAGTGACGATTCTCTCCGGCCAATCCGTGATCAGCAGAGTTTACACGTCACGTTTTGGTAACGGTACGGTTCACTTGGAACCCCAACCGAAGTGGTACTAAAAAAAGTACCAGGTACCAGGTACTGTACCCAGTGGAAAACCCCCCAAAAGTGAACCGTACCGAGCCGTACCGTGCCGTACCATGCAGTGGAAAAGCGCCATTAGTGTTGTTTGTCCACTTATAAGCTCCATTATGTCAAGTTTCAGTCAAAAGAAGCATTTGGGCGAGAGCAGGCAGCGTTCGGGCTGTGTGTTCCTCCCTGCCCGTGCTAAAAAGAAAAAAGATATTCGGGTGGGGACACACACAGTTGTGTGTTGTCTGCTTGGGAGCGAAGCATGCAGAGTCAGCTTTGAGGAGGGAGCCTTCATTAGCGTTTCTCGGTGCGCCGGCCACCGGTGCGCGAGCGGCAGCTGTGCTCGTGGGGTTCACATATGGATCCGGTGGAGGGAATGTAGACGGGCGAGTCCCTATCTTCTTCCTCAACCACCAGATCCAGCGCCCGCTCTCGGGGTTCGGAAACCCGCGCTGCGGTTCTTCCCCCCGGGGAGAGGGCTCGACACTCTGCCTGTCTTCCTCCGAGGAGGTTGATATGGAGGGCGTCGATGAGCTCGCCAGTTGCACAAGCATCAGTTACACAAGCATATTATGCCTAATATTATAATGAGCAGCATTACTGGGGAGCAGAGCT